TTAATTATTTAAACTTTAAAAGTGCAATTCTTCAGGATAATTGCTTAGCATTTAGTGTCGTACCAGGAATTGTGGCCTTGAAGATTGATGTTGCAGGCATCTTAAAAAAGGAAAATTCATATTTGCAAATTATGAAATGCACCTGCCAATACTTAAATCTAGCAGTGAAAAAAATGTCAGTTTCTTTGCCAATAAAGTGTAGTTGAACACATTGTTGATATTCGTTATTATCTTGAAAATGCTGCTAAGGAAAGAAAAATTGAAACAATTCCATCAGCTGCATAATACTGAAATAAGAAAAAATTTGAAATATATGTCTACACACTGGTTATCTTTAGAGAAATGTTCAACTAGAATCGTCAACAACTTCTTACATTTTTCAAGGAAGAAGTAAATGTTTCTTCTTTTAGTCTTTTATTTAAGTTATAAAATACCTTAAGTAAATGGAGATGTAGTTCCAATGTTAAAAATAGGTGTGACCAAAATTACGTAATTTATGCACCTGCAAGAAATTTAATTGGCGATTCTCAAAATAATACCACAAAATATAAGGGTCTTCCAAAATAAAAATATCTCTTGACAAGAGACACATTTTCCGATTATTTTAAGTTTTTCTTCTGAAGAATAAATATTGAAGGTTTTGTCTTTGGACCTTAATAAAGCTTTTTGCTTTTTTGTATGCTTGATTTTGCCGTCATTCAATGTTCTTAACACAATTTCACAATACAGAATTACATTAATTCATGTTTTGCAATCAATGATTAGTGATCTGGTTGAAGTATTTAATTATTAGGGAATCTAATTAGAGTATGATTCTGTTATTAGAAGGTACACTGCTCCAAAAAAAATGGGACAGTGCTATATCTCCCGTTCTACTGGGCCGATTTACGAAATTCAAATTGCGTTCTTCATGTCTCGAAAGCGCGACTTAGGATATATATTAGATTTATATATAGCACTATTCTAACAGGTATTTTGACACAAAAGCGCGCCTTTTTCTGAAATAACGTACCGAGTTTTTTCCATATTTCGATTCTACGACTCAAATTATGCCTAAATATTAAATTTTGTAAAATTTGATGGGAAATTTACGGAGAAATTCAACAATTTATGTTGGCGCTTTTTATTCAATTTGTGCCAAAATTAGTTCATTTGGCGAACTTCTTAATATGTGGCAACCTACTTTTATTTCCATTTTTACATAGTGCGTGAGAGGAAAAAAAAAGACTCAGTTGTTCCTTCTTTCAAATAATGTTCTTTATCTTATATTTTTAATTATAATTGTTATTAATTTTAAGCAATGTTTTTCTTTTTCGAATTTATTTTAACTGTTTACGCTACATAGTTTCTTTCGAATAACTGTTTTAAAAATTTCTATTTACTCATTTGAACTGCGTAGTTGAAATCAAAGGCGCATGGTTTATTTATTTATTTATTTTTTTCAAATAGTTTTCTTTATACTATATTTTTAATCATAGTTACTATTTTAGGTAATTTTTAAATTTTTCTTAGACTTCACTTTCTTAGACTTCACTCCGAAGAGTTCATCTTCAGAGTGAGGAGGAAAAAAAATTTTTCTTATTACAGATGTTACTTACGTGCTTATTTGATCGATTAAACGTAACCATAACTGTGTATGTTATTCGAATGTCATGCATATCAATTGTTCGCTATTATCTGCGGTAAGATCTGGAACGTGTGTTACCTGAGGTTATGGGGTTACTAATTATAATTCTTTTCCATAAATTGAAAAATGTACCACTAAATGTAGAAAATCCATATATGTAAAACACATTTATTAGTTGTACAATTTACTGTAAAATTCGATCTCAAATAAGAGCTTTGATTACATAGCCACAGGACTTATGTTAGGGACTATTTATCCCTGATATAGCCAAATTAGAATAGGTTAAATGAATATGGTAAGGCTGTCGCAGACTATCTTTCTAAGTGAAGAGATGCCTTCGCACAGGATTTGTCTAAGGAAAACTGTCTTGTACTCACGTTACACACGAGGAAAACTGCGAAAAACAAATATGCGGCCAGCCAGTTCGCTTGGAATCGAACTCCCAAGATTCAGCTGTCTTAACCACTTGGTTACTCATGGGGTACATTACGAGGATTTGATTGTTAAAAGAATATAATGTAATGCTTATTTAGCTGCGCATTATGTATTTCGTTTATGATTGTGTGATTATAAGGTCTCTCCACCCAATGAACTGTTAGTGAAAATCATCAGTAGCCACAAAATTCTACGACTTATTCCGCAACCCTCCTGCAAATTCCCCCCCTTTTTTTCCCCCACGGTATCTGTCCCAGTCATAATAAACTAAATTTAAAATCGCAAAGAATTTTAAGTTAGTTGCATTAGTCGGAAAGTTATATGCAGTGGCGAGCCTAAAGTCATGAATTTGACTGTGCTAACGTTCCTTATGAAGCATGGAATGCATGGTTTCCATGCTTCATAAGATTTGAATTTATGCTTCAAATCTTATGAATTATTTATTATTCATAAGAATATATATTTTGAATGATATGCTTCTTCTCTTCCTAACTAGTTTGAGGATTGTTGCCCACACGTGGATGGCATATGTAAGAATATGCCATCAACGTGTTAAATGAAATGTTCAGTTATTAAGGTCTATTTAAATTTAAATCCATTAGAGTTGAGGTTTTAAAAAGTTGCACATTTATATAATCTGCACATTTTCCTTTGGGGATATTTATTCAGTTGAGATCTGGTCATGTTCGCTCACAGAAACAACCAGCAGGAAGAAGTTCCTGTTAATTAAATATAAGGTTAAATCTAATTTTCTTTTTCCCTCCCTGACAAGTTTTGAGGATTGTTGCCCACACTTGGATGAAATATGTAAGAATATGAACATGAGTTTAATGAAATGTTGAGTTAATATGAAGATTTAGATCAGAGTTGCGGTCTTGAAAAGTTGTAAACTCGCATGTTTGCGCATTTGTGGATATTTATTCAATTTGTGATCTAAACATGAATTGGTCAAACATTACGTCGAGCTATTCGCTCATAGACACAACCAACAAGAAGGAAGACGACGTGAGCCCTTATGTAAGGTTGTAGAGACATTAGGTTAATTGGAAGCAGGAGTCGTGAAAATTAGCAACGCCTTCACCGGGAATCGAACCGCGGACCTCTGGAATACACGCCCAGCGTGCAGACCACTACAACACAAAGGCATGCCAAGAAGGTGAGAGAAAAAGCTTATAAGGTAACCACAATTTCAGGAAGTCAATTTTATTTTGATAATAAATATGCCTTAAAAATCGATTCTAACTTCTGAATATAGGCCTGTCTTTTCCTTGGACACAGAGGTTGAGGAAAGATAACCCTCCACCCATATGCTAAAGGTTTATGTTCCAAGAAATACAATGAATTTATGAGAGCGGGTCAATTTTCTGTTCCTGAAAGGCATCATCCTAGTCATGCACGTGCCACGTGACTATCTTCTGCAGAACTCCTGTACACTTTTTAAACGGTATTATCAAACGCGGGGGACCACTAGTGTTACTTGTATAGAGTAGTCTTATGTTTATTCTCACGTTGTTATCGGAACGTATTAAGGGAAAATTTCTCCTTGATGGCTAGAATTATATCAACATGCAGAAAATTTTGGACTCTTTATTTTCAAAGCTACACTTTTCCGTTCAAATTCCTTTTCATATCCTGATACTGTTTCTAGAATTCTCACTATTCTCCTTCGTGACGCTTTAATAATTTTTCATTGGTGCGCTGAAAAAAAGAATTGTTTTTCAATCTATTATACCTTGAAATAGTAAATTACATGTATAATCAGGGCTTGAATTCAAACAGAGATAGCCCTTGGTACTTCTTAGCTTCTGCGTGGATATGTAATTCCAGTCTGAGCCCAAAATATGACGAGGTCCGATAATTTATTTTTTATATAACTGTTTATAATTAATTAAATAATTTATGAAATCTCTTTTTATATCTTTGTATTTCTTTTAATTTTAATTGAATTATATAATTATGTGAGGGTGACGTCTTATCATCAAACAGAGATCACACTCACGATTCAAAGTATCAGGTTTTATTTCTGGTTTATAGAAGAAACGATAAACGGAATGAGTATGTACAAATGGATTAAATATGTTTAGGAGAGTAATCAACACTGGTTCCACTGTGGAGATGTAAAAGTCACAGCTGGCCACCTATGTGCGGTCACTTTAGATAAGTTCGAAGTCCGATCGCCTATGCGCGACCAGTAAGCGTCTAGTTGTAGCTCCTTCGCGAGCTTTCTGTTAGACCGCTTCTCTCGGACTTCTCGAACCAACTGAAGATCCTGGAACTTGGAGAATTCCTACAGAGTAGTGATAGGTAGCGACATCTGGTGCTTCGTTGAGGCACGATTCCCACACGCTCGGCCATCGACAGGTGAGAACCTCCGAACACTTGAATACATCTGTAAAACACAAAATACAAAAAAAGAAACATTTGAAAAATAGTTTGCAAAATGATCTCAAGTTGCGATGTCATCAGACCAAAGCTTCATGTGGTCTGCCGAAGTGGAAGTTGCTTCAGGTCCTTCATGAGATCCTACTTTGGCTACATCGTATCGATCATGTGGCTTAATCTTGATCACTTTATAAGGTCCTAAGAATTTAGGTCTTAGCTTGAGACCGCCTCCTAACTGGATTCTTTTAATGGCTACTAGGTCGTTGACTTTGTAGAGTGGAGCGGTTCTACGACGTCGATTGTATTGTCGTCTGTTCTCCTCCTGCAGTTTGAAGATATTCGCTTTAGCCTCTTCACGAATAGACTCTTTCTTCTGGATGGTGGAGTTTAGGAATTCTTCACCGAGAATTTCTTTAATTCTTTGGTCTGCCTTATTTCTCATTTTCACGCCTGTTATCAGCTCGAAAGGAGTGAATTTCGTTGATCTACTGACAGTGCTGTTGATGATTCTTTGGACGTCAGGCACAAATTTGAACCATTTGGCAGGATCATCTACTCACAGTTTTGCAAGCACTGGGTTAAGGGTTCCATGAATTCTTTCGATCTGGCCGTTGGCTCTTGGAACGCCTGTTGTGATTTGTATGTGCTGAATTCCTTCATCTTTACAGCATTCCTCAAAGTCCTTTGAAGTGAAAGCAGATCCTTTGTCAGAGATAATTCTTGAAGGATTTCCGAAGACAGCTTGTTGGATTTTTAGTTTCTGTACAGCTTCTGCCGTTGATGTTGTCTTGACTGGGTAAAACCAGACAAATTTTGTAAAAGCATCTACCACTGTAAATATATGTCGGTATCTCTTATCTGTAGATGAAAGGGGTCCTACAAAATCTATGTGATATGTGCTTAACGGAATATTGTCCTAGATTGGGTTAGTAGACCTTCTGCTTTGCCTCGCGACTTTTAAAACTCGTTTAAGCTTTTCTAATCGCTCTTTTTCATCACGGGAAGGTATGATAAAATCATCCATGTAAATTACAACTGTATTATCCCTTATTAATTCCCTGAATACGTTATAGATAAATCTTAAAAATACACTAGGACTTGTGGTCAAATCAAACGGTGCTCTTAAAAATTCAAATAAACCTGCATGACAAATGAATGTTAAATATTTGGTACATCTTTCATCGACTGGAACGTGGAAAAAACCATTTTTCAAATCCAAAGTTGAAAAAACTTTCGCTTTCCCCCAAATGATCAAGTACTTCCTCTACCTGGGCCATAGGAAAAGAATCTTTTATTACTTTTTTATTTAACTGTCTGAAGTCTACGCATAATGTATGTGTTTTATCACGTTTCTTACATAACAGAATTGGAGATGCGTATTCGGAACAAGATGGTTTAATTATCCCCTTTTGCAACCACTAGTGTTACGTAAGGCGTTACGTTCGAACAATGGCTAGCTCAGAAGGGATTCGTAAGTCATCTACCCGATGAATTAACAGCTATCTTGTCATAAATGGAGCACTTCATTTAAACTTAAGCAAAAAGATTTATTTACACATAAAGACAAGTTAAAAGAATATAAAATATTTATCTAGCTACAATATCTATCTAGGCACATCATGCAAACATCGTGCTTAGCTAACTAAACCGGAACTGTTCGTTTTCCTCTGGCGTCCCATGACGTCAGTCTCTATCTGGCTTTTGATTCGTTGGCTTAGTGATGCCATTCCCAACATCCTCCCCCCTTTGAGTTGCTGGATAGCTACTCAAAACATTCAAGTCTATCAAGTTCAGTCTAAGTGGCATCTTAACAGTTTTACCAGCTCGTGTCTTTATAGTCTTAGAACTGTCACATACATCGGAAACATCAGTGAGGTCCGGAGATCGGGGTGACCCAGAAATTTCTGAATGATGAGAGGTACTCATGTCGTCTCCACGATGAGAATATGAAGACTTTACAGCAGATTGATGTTTTTGAGGATCACTTGGATGACATGAACCTGACAAATCATCATCTTGGATTTCTAGGGGAAACACTCGTTGTATCGGACGTACTAAATTGTTAGTTTGCGTTCTTAATCTAACTGTTCTCACTTTACCGTCCTTTTCCTGGAATCAGTTCCGTAACCCTGGCTAAAGGCCAATTCAATCTCTTTTTGATATCATCTCCTATCAACACAACGTCATTCACTCGAATATTTGGAAAGTGTGAATTTTGCTGTCGTTTCTGAATAAGTAGTCCTAAATATTCCTTTCGAAAACGTACACGGAGATCTTCCATTAATTTTGCACGAAATCTGATTCTTTTCCTGAGATGATTGGTGTCTACTGTATCTATATCAGTTACATCTAAATTGGATCTGTCGGTCAGAAACATGGCAGGTGTAAGTGGAACTAAGTCTTCTGTATCTTCGGATACATACGTCAGGGGTCGCGAATTTACTACCCTTTCACATTCGCACATAACTGTTTCCAGTTCTTCATAGGTAAGAACAGCTCTGCCCAATGTTCTCCTAAGGAGTTCTTTGACTACTCGAACAAGTCTTTCCCACCATCCGCCCCACCAGGCAGGCAGCAGTGGGGGGAATGAATTTCCATTCGATCTTCTGTATTTCTGTTTGTCGAGTTATTTTACTCCAATCAATTTCTAAAAAATTATTATAAGCTCCCCTAAAGTTTGTACCGTTGTCTGTATAAACCACTCTAGGTCTTTCTCTTCTAGCAACAAAACGTCTTAATGATAACAAAAAAGCATCAGTAGAAAGCGATGTTATTAACTCTAAATGAATTGCTCTATAAAGAGCACACGTGTAGAGAACCATCCATACTTTGTCCCCACGTTTTACAAATAGGGGACCTGCTAAGTCAATACCAACTACTTCGAAAGCTGCAGCATTTTCCACTCTATCAGCAGGTAAGGAAACTGGTTCAGTGATGAGAGATTTAGTTTTGTATCGTCGACATTTAATACAGTCCTTCAGAACACTACGTATCGCTCTTCTTCCTCTTGTAATCCAGTACTTTTCACGCAATATACTTAGTAATATCTGGGTTCCAGCATGACAGTTTTCTCGGTGAAAATATTCAATCAGTCTTTGAGTAAAGATACATTTATCAGGAAGAAGAATAGGTGAAATGAAGAAAGGCTTATCTATGCGTTCAGTAATTCGAGTTTTAACTCTGATAATTCCGTTCACATCTTTGAAAACACACAAGTTCCGAATAGAGGTTTCACTAGGAAAAAATTGAGCTTGCACATTACGAATAAGCAGAATTTCAGCATTTTCAATCTCCTGCGTTAGAAGTTCTCCCCCCCCCCGTCTAGTATCATGATGCGATCTTACATTACTGATAAATCTCAATATCCATGCAACCATTCTAACTGAATTGAATTTTGAGAATTTAATGGCATACCACGGGACTCTCTCTTCCAACAAATTAATATTACATAACCTAACCTTTCTCCTTTCAAGTGTTATTTCGGGGTTGTCTCTGTTATCAATATTTCGGTGTCAGGCCAGTTGTCTCTTGCTTGCAACAACCATGCCGGGCCTTTCCACCAGCAGGATTCTAACAATTTCTTAGGGGAACACCCTCGCGAAATCAGATCAGCGGGATTCATTTTCCCTGGCACATGTCGCCATTCATTATTAGGAAACAGATTATTTATTTCTTTTACTCTGTTCGAGACAAAAACTGTCCAATCACCACGTTCTTTTAACCAGTATAAAGCTACCCTAGAGTCGCTCCAAAATATTGTTTTAATCTCATGGGCATTTAAAGCCTGCTTCACTGAATATGCCAACCTGGCACCAATGCAGCAAGCCATTAACTCTAACCTAGGGATCGTTACTTTCTTCAAAGGTGCAACTCTGGTTTTTGCTCTAACAAAGTAAATTTTTACCCCTTGAGAGGTTCTCGTTCTAAAAAAAATACAGGTGGCATATGCCTCTTTGCACGCATCTACGAAAACATGCATCTCAGTGGAATCATTTATTTCAACATAACGTGAGATTTCGATATCTCTTAATGCATCTATTTCTCTAAACCATCTTTTAAAAGACATTTGAATACTATCTGGTAAGGGAGTATCCCACTTTAGATTTAAATTCCACGTTTCCTGCAGTAAAAGCTTAGGTGGTAAGATTGCAGGACTCAACAGACCTATTGGATCAAATATTTTGTGAACTGTAGCTAAAATGATTCTCTTAGTAAAATTCTGATCTTCACTTACAAGATTAAAGTTTAAATTACACTTAAGAGTGTCCTTATCAAGATCCCACAAAATTCCCAATACTTTCGTGACACCAGTACTATTAAAAACATACTTACATTTTACATTACTCTCCCAGTTTCTTAAGTTAAAGCAACCCCGTGACAAAATATCTTTTGCATTTACAATAAAATCTTCCTGCTCCTCAATATTTGCAACACCAGAAACACAATTATCTACGTAAAAAGAATGTTTCAGTTTTTGTGCTATAGCATCAAATTCAGATGGTACATTATCTAATAAATGTGTAATTGAGGCTGCCAATAAAAATGGACTCGACTTTAACCCAAATACTACTCTGCGATGTCGGTAAACAATCTGTTCACTCTCGGACGGATAAAAAAACCGCAAGAAATCTCTATGTTGAGGGGCTATACTTAACATCAGAAATGCTTTCTCAATATCTGAAGATAATCCTATTGGATGAATTCGAAACCTATCAAGTATCTCTGGAATTATTTCTAGTAAGTTCGGACCCTTATACAAAAGGTCATTCAAAGAGCATTTACCACTTTCTCGGGCTGACGCGTCAAAGACAGGTCTGATTTTTGTAGTGGTACTGTCCTTAATTACTGGCCGATGAGGTAAAAAATGTCCCGTCTCAATATTATCAGTTACCTTTTCAATTATATTCAATTTCTCCCATTCCCGGAAAATCGTAGTATATTCTTCTAAAAATGCTTTATCTTGTGCTCGCTGGCACATCCTTTTATGCCGCTTCCAAGTTAAATCTTTATTTGTCGGCAAATCGGCCACATCAGATTTAAAAGGTAAACAAAGTTCATATCTACCGTCCGAAAGAATTTTCATATTATTTTTTAAACTCTTCCAAAACTCTGGAATGTTCTAAATTCTTTCTGTTATTTTCAATGGGATCTGAAATACCTATGGATTCTAAAGACCATAAATCTTTTATCGAATAATTACTAACATACAACGAAATTGCATTCAAAACAATATCATCATTGCTATCTCCAAATGACTCATGCTTCCCAGTTAACACATGTCCCAAACAAGTGTCAATCAAAAATAACCCTGACTCCAACCGAACAGATTTATTAGTAAATAAAGCGCCCACAATATCCGCTCCCAAAAGCAGATTAATCTCACGATCAGAAGAACCCAAATCAGACAAACTGACGCCTCTATCTTTCAGTTCATTAATAATTTTACTATCGTTCACTTTTGGCACTGTGCCACAAATTTTGCTCTCGGAAAGTGCTTCGATTTGAAAGGAGAAAGTTTCATCTAATGCCGAAATCAACAAATTATAAACATCGTGAATCTGCGTTCGCGTTTCTCTTCCACCGAATAACGAATGCTTCAATTTAATTTGCCTTAATGGTTTTAAATTTAAATTCTCTACTAATTTTTTACTGACAAACGAATGCTGAGAACCTGTATCCAGTAATGTGCGTACTTTAAGCTCAACATTCTTAAATTTAATTTTAACTATTAGAGTCATTAAATAAACATTTTCTATTTTAAAGTTAGTATTAAAGTATTCTATTTTAAATAGTATTCTATTTTAAAGTTAGTTTAAAGTCTTATTAGTTAATGTACTGGTTTCAGTTACGTCCCTTTTAGACTTTTCATTTGCGCCTTTTTCTTGGCGATTGGGACACATTAAAGAATGGTGATTTTTATTACAGTACATGCAAGAATTTTTTACTCGACATGTTTTAAAAGTGTGTCCAAATCTGAAACATCCAAAACAGGCCCCTCTTTTAATTAATATATTTTTCTTAGCTTCTAATGTCATATTTCTAGCAGAAAAACATTCTTTAGTTGGGTGCCGTTTTTCACAAAAGAGACAGTTAAAATTGCGCTTACCTGGGCTCTCAGAATTTGATGTACTTACTAACGCAGCTGCGGTGGCGGAATCTAAATTTTTATTTAGTGTATCCTTTTTCTTAGAAAAATGATTAGAACCAAACCCAGTGCGGGCTAACACGACCATCTCTTCTCCTTTCACTTCTTGTTTCAGAAAATTCATCAAATTTTCAAGGCATCGGTCCTCAGGCTGAGGTGCTTCTTTTAAATTTCTGTTTCTCTCCCAAGCAATTAATACTTCTTCGGGCAGGCAGGATTCAACTAAAGGCGTTAAGAAATTACCATACTTCTCTTGCGTTCTTCCAAGACTTTCTAAAGCTCTAATCTTGGTTTCTAAATCATCGTAAAGGGTGGGAAGATCCGTCTTCACACGTCCACTGCTTGCATTACGCATAACCATGCTTAGAAGATCTCTGACGTATATCTGTACAAGTAAGTCTTCTCTTCCAAACCTCTCTCGAAGCTGGGCGATTGCTTTTCGGATAATTCGACGCCGTTGCCGGAAAGTTCTCCACTACCCGTGCGGCTCTGGACTGAGGAACAACTGCTTGTAGGAAGGTACTGGAATTTATCTTCATCTGGAATCGTCGGATCTTCATGGATCTTCGAAAACTGGCTCCAAAACGTCAAAAATTCTTTTGCTTCGCCGTTGAATTTCTTTAGTTCGATCTTCGGCAGTTTAAATTTGCGCTTTTCTGGTAATTCAGTAGGTAAAGGATTCTTCGACAGCTTTTCGATTTGAGAACACAGTTCAAAATATTTATCTCTATAAGGCTCAGACGAAATAAAATCTTCTTCATATAGCTTTTCAGCTTCTTTA